GAGGGGAAGGGGCCCACAAGCACCTTACCCAAGAATGTATAATTGATTAGGAGCAAAGTCAAGTATAAAATTACTCTTCCTGACCTATACCGGCCCAAGACAACACAGAAGAAATCCTCTGTAAATTTTTCTTTCCCTTTTCTCATTTTTTTCATTACATTTCTGACCGACACACTATTTTATTTACTTTGATTTTGCCCCATGGAAAATAAACCCCAAGAGATCAAGAAGAGCTGTCTTTTGGTTTGGTTTGTTCATTGCTATAGCCCCAGCACCTGGAACAGGGACCACTCATAAAAGCTGAAATGTTTATTGAATTAACAACTTCACACACACACACACACACACACGATTTTGGGTGTGCCTTCACCTCTCAATCATCCCTTTTTGGCAGAAATCAAAGGATTTGGGAAGACTCTTAGATGCTGTTTATCGATTGACTGCAATTTGTAATTCAACAGCTGAAGAGTATTATATTCCATTTACTTCACTGAGTTTAAGTTTCCTTAATTTCAGTGTAACATTTTCAGCTATACATTTTCATTTGTATAGTCTTTAACATATTAGCTGGGCCTGCTGGTATATGCCTGTAATCCCAGCACTATGAGGCAGAGGCAGAAGGATCATGAATTCAAGGCCTGCCTGGGTTACACAGCAAGTTCCAGACTAGCCTGACTAAATAGCAAGACACTGTCTCCAAAAAAAAAAAAAGCTGAGCACTGATGGTTCCTGCTTGTAATCCTAGATATTCAGGAGGCAGAGAACCTGATTGCTGTTTGAAGCCAGCCTGAGGGCAAATAGTTTGTGAGACCCTATCTTGAAAACACCCAATATAAAGCAGAGCTGGTAGAGTAGTTCAAGTGGTAGAGTACTGGCCTGGCAAGTGTGAGGCTGTGAGTTTGAACCCCAATATGTATGCATGTATGTATGTATGTGTATGTGTGTGTGTTTTCTAGTACTTGTAAGAATGGGGAATTGGAGCCAATTATCTCATTAATTTACTGCCTATTAAAATTAACAACTTGCCCCTTTTAATAAAACCAATAAATCAGTTATTTCCAAAGTTATTTATCTCCCTATATAACCAGTTATTTCCCTATTTAGCCAGAAATTTGATTATGCACAATGGATTGCTTCTTTGTGGGGGGGGGGCGCAACACTGGGGTTTGAACACAGGGCCTCACGTTGGCAAGGCAGGAACTCTTACCACCTGAGCCACTCCTGTAAGTTCTTTTTTGTGATGGGTTTTTCAAGATAGTGTCTGGTGAACTATTTGCCTAGGCTGGCTTCCAACTACGAACCTGATCTCTGACTCCTGAGTAGCTAGAATTACAGGTGTGAGCCCCTGGCACCCGGCTTGAACTAATGTTCTTTAAAAGAAATTTCTGCTTAAACATAAAACTCCTGTATGGTAATTTTTTAAAATGAGTTCCATGTAAAACAGCTGCTTTATTTAAAAAATCCAATGTCTAGAGCACAGGATTTCTAGATCTAGCCCTAATAGCCAGCTATGTAAATTAATGCAAGTCATTACTCTGAATTTTATTTTGTGTTATGTCTTCCTTAATGTATGGCAGAGTCCCTCAAACTAAAGTCTTCATCTGTTAACACAGAATAGATTTTTAATAGACATGAATCAATGAGTGGATATAATTTCTTCTCTTGATTCGCTGAATTCCTCCATTTTTCTCAAATTCCATAACTGTTTAAAGTCCAGAGCTCAGGTCTCTTTTGGCATTGTTGACTCAGCAAATCCTTTGTAATATTGGCTATGAGTCTCTGTAATGTTACATCTCTGGTGAGCCACTCTTAGAGTTTGGAAAACATCCATAGAGCAGAATATCTGGTTCGACAAAGAGTTTGGCTTTAACTCACAGTTAGTAATGAAAGTTTGGTATTTGTAAGATTCCTAGGTATGGGAGGCAGTTATGTTACAGCTAGGATTATGTATCCTCATAACCTACATGAAAGTGAGAAAATCCTAAGCAAACACATGTACTAATACTAGTTACCATTCCTCTACTCCAATTTTACTTTACCATTCTCATTATTTCTCTGAAAAGCCATTCCTAAGCCTTTATAAGCAGTTTTAATTACAAAGTAACATATACTAATTATCCAATAATCTGTAGATCCTCTCATCTTCCAATTGTTCAACAATATGTAAAACCTCTTGTCTTTTTTAATATGTCCCCCAAACCGCAGTTACACAAACCAGTATCCACGCCATCTGTGTTGTAATGTTTTAAAGAGGCACTTCATATGTGTTCATCCTATAAACTTTATATCCTTTAATAATTACTGTACATCTAGTAAATAAATTTTACTATTATGTGTTCCTAATAAGTAATGTAATTACAGCCACCTTACAGAAAAAGCATTACTAAAAAAATAGTAAAAGTCAGATATTATCAAATATCAATACTATTCTGCATTTTGTAGAAAAGAATTAGTCTCACAATTCTTCCAAATACCCATCTAACCCAAGCTGTCGAGAAAAAGTATCATTTTCATTTTCCCAAGTAGCAGTGTTTCCTTCTTGTTATTCCTTCTCCAGTTTTTTGATATTGTATGTAACAAATCAAACTAAGTTCCTAGCAGGCTAAAACCTACCTGACTCTAAATCACGTAATTCTTTGTTGGAGGCCAAATTTATGGACTATTAATGAAAACATAACCAAAATTTGTGCACTCTTGAGCAACAAATGAGTTACTCAAAAACATTAAGTTAATTATTGAAAATATCTAAGAGACTGGTGGAGTGGTTCAGGTGGTAAAGTGCCTGCTTAGCAAGTGTGAGGCCCTGAGTTCAAACCCCAGCACCTCCAAAAAATAAATATCTAAAAAAGTAAAAAAAGACTCCACATTTTTCAGGATCAGTTACTATCAAAATTATAACTTTAAATCTATTGATTTAAATCATAGAAAGTCCTCCGTGAAAACAAACAAGTTGTATAGTTGAATGTAACATTAGGCTTTTTTTTTTTTTTTTTTAGCAGTAACTAGGACTTTACACGAACTTAATCAGTTGTTCCTCACTTTGTCTAAATTTGGTTAAATATTTGCAGATTACCCACATCTGTAAATATGGGAGACAGAGCTGAAACAAACAGCTTTGGTCATGCTTATCTTATTCTGTAAACTAAACGTAAGAACCCTAAATCAAACACAGCAATATCATGGCCCAGAACCAAAGCAAAATAATGGATTCCAACTTAAAATTACAAGGCCGCCTTAAATCAAAGTATCTCCTCAATCTATCACTGTGCACAGCGCAGCACTAGCCTTCTTCCTAGAGCAGAGCTGCTGGCACAGAACTTTTAGGGAAAAGACCAGGAATAAGGTTGTTTGTTATGGCTACATTTCGCAAATGGAAATCCACGGGATGGTTATGATTGTAGATTCGATGCTGTACACCCTCAACAGGTGATTTTTATTTATTTTTTTGGTGCACTGGGGTAGCAGGTGCTCTACTGCTTGAGCCACACACACCTCCAATTCATTTTGGTCTGATTGTTTTGGAGATGGGTTTAAGAACAATTTAAGAACTATTTGCCTGGGCTGGCCTCGAACCTCGATCGTTCCTTAACTCAGCATCCCAAGGAGCTAGGATTACAGGCGTGAACCACCGGTTCCCAGCTTCAACAGGTGACTTAAAAAATGGGTGACAGTCTTCCTAAGGAGCTTTGAAACTATTGATTTTGGCCATGAAAAGATGACGCCTGCAAAAATCCCTGTCCGATCCCTACTCCTACTCCGGACCCTGGCGAAGGCCGGGCTCTAGAGGAACTGCGCAACAGTCTGGGCGCGAGGACCGAACCTCGCCCTCTCCCGGGGCCTCGGCACCCGGACGTGCGCCTGCGGCGCGCGGCAACAGTTGCCACGAGCAGCTGGACTTGGCACGACTTGGCCCCCACCCTCTTCTCCCTCCCTCAAGGCCAAGGACAGCGATGTCCTCCTCCCCCTTCTCCTCCTCTTTCGTGCCTCCAGCCAGGAGGCGGGGGTGACCCACAGCAGCTGACCCAACCCGGGCACTGCCTCTCCCACAGCCCTCAGGACACACCATGGGCACAGAGGCGGGTTTGCGGCACAGTAGCGACTACGCAGGCGGCGGGCCCGGCGACTCTCAACTGCCTCCCTGACCACTGCGACCATCACCCAATAGCCCCGAGAAAGCCATCGCCACCACCTACAGGAGAATCTACGGACAGCTAAATCACCTTCGCGATCGACTCCAAGCTACGTCAACAACTATGGCGGGCGAAGGGCGGAGGGAGGAGCCGGTAGGGGAACGATGGGGGATGTACGTCACCCCTAGAGCCCCCATCCGGGAGGGAAGACACCGGTTTGCCCCTCAAAATGGCGGCAGTGACGCGCCTGCGTATGGAACGCCTCCGTCGCGCCAGGGCCGACGGGAAGTGAGGTTCTCAGAAGAGCCTCCAGAGGTGTACGGCGACTTCGAGCCCCGAGTGGCCAAAGAAAGGTCCCCGGTGGGAAAACGAACCCCGCTAGAAAAGTTCCGGCTGGATTCTGCGAAAGAGGAAGTGAGAGAAAGCGTCTACAACCTTCGGTCTCGGCAGCGGAGGCAGCCGCGACCCCAGGAAGCCGAGGAGATGAAGACGCGAAGGACTGTTCGCCTTCAGCTGCAGCAGTCTGTGCTACAGCCGTCTCCGGTGACGACCCGGAGAGGGTTACGCGACTCGCTGTCCTCTGAAGGTGAGGATGTTGGAGGTAAACAGTCTGAGCCGTACGCTGGTCGGCGCGCGCAGCGGGCGCTTGGGGAGGCGGGGGTGGCGCGTGTTCCCCCCGGGGCAGCGGTGGCCGCTTGGTCCCCAGGGCGTGCGCCCCCGTGCGGAGTCCTCCTCGGGCGGCAGGCAGGGGACGGTGATGACATCGCCCACCCCCAGGCATCAGTTTAGGGGAGTTTGGGGCGCCTCTTTCTGCAAGCTTTCATGAGAGGACTCCAGCTCACTCCAGGCCAGGTTTCGTTTCCGTTCCCTCTGCAGATGCTTATAGCGGAACCACTTCCATTTCCCTCTTTTAGTTTGAATGGCCAGAAGTCCCCACTAAAGCACCCTGGTTTCCGTTCCCAACCGGGGAGGGAGGAGAAGGAATGGTTAGTGAACTGACTTGAGCCCCCACCCCATGTCGACATGGGGTAACTCAATTCTCCCGAATCGAAGCCCCCAAATGTCTGATAAGCTTCTTTCTCAAGGGTAGTGGTCACTGCCAAAAATTCACCCACCTTGGAGGCCATCACTGTAACCTCGAATAGCCAGACCAATCAAGACTCAATTAGGAAGTTAATTAAAGGACCAAAGTGCTGACAGTGTGTGTGTTATAAAGTCACAATGGCTCAATTCCTTTAAAGTCGTCTTTTGTCACCCTGGCCAGTCTCCTGCTAGATCTTGTTTGGCTATACTGGGGTTTGAACCCAGGGCCTCATGCTTGCCGGGCAGGTGCTCTACCACTTGGACCACACCACCAGCCCCTCCTCCTAGATCTAATCACAGGTGAAAGTTTCATTTTAGCCCCGTGTAAAGCACCGACCTATGAGGTAAAACCAGGGGATTCCAGAGTCACAATGGGATGACATCGTTCATGGTACACCTTTGATGCATGTAGAGACCTGGATTTTCCCTTTAGAGCACAGGAAAAGGCTGCAAGTTTACCTGCCAACGCTTAAAAGTACTGACACTTTTGAAGACTTGGGTTTGGAAAGTCTATGTTAAAGATATGTACGTTGCTTTTGGAGGTAACAACTCAAGCCCAGGTGGATATTAGTCTTATCACTCTTTTAAGATGGCAAGTTTCTTGAAAACAAGGAACCCTGTCAAGTTTACTTGGTAGTAATTTACTTGCTTGTGTTAATTCTGTATTGCTTTCAGTAGCTGGTAGAGTAAATATGTTATATTGTATTGACTCTTCCACTGGAAACCTGATGCAGGCTAATTTAAAAAACAAAAGGAAGGAATTTACCTTAATTGTAGTAAATCTTTGAGGATTTAAACATCCCTCACACTCTTCCACATCACTTTTGACACCCAAGCCCATCTTTTAAATACTACTTTATTTTTGAAGTAGCATACATTAATAATACAAAGATTTCATTGTGATAGTTCTATGCATGCATACAGTGTTTAATATCCTAAAGTAATATTTTTGTTGTAAAGCAACAAAAATTTTTATATTTGACGATTTAGTTATGCTCTGTCTTAGAAATTCTGACTACTTCAATTCTTACTTTTTGATAAACCTAATTACACATTTCTAAGGAAATGAATTACCTGCATTTTTGCTTAGAGCTGTTAAATTTGTGTGCTCTCCCAGTTTGTATATCCTGAATTTTAACCTTTCTGATGTCTGTTCTTTAGAGGATGAACCACCTTCCCAAACTGTTATAAGCCAAACAGTCTCAAAGAAAACTGTCAGGAGAATACAAGAGGCTCCAGGTAAGAATAGTTCATTTTTTGTTTTACTTCTTTACCTGCCAACCTTTTAAAGGACACATTAATCAGTGGTTCCTCAAGGATCCCAAATCATATCTTATTCAGAGTTTAACGAGTCTTCTTTATTGACTGTTACTGAATTAAGCAATATATGTAGGTGTCAGGAAAAGACAGGGTACATCCGAGTGTGCAAGGTACCAGCCACTTTGTATGTGCTAATTCTCCTAACCTTTCAGGGTAGCTATTATGCCCCTTTAATAGGTGAGGAAACTAGAGCTCAGAGCATCTTAAGATTATTTTCTAAGATCACAGGATATATGACTCAGCCACAATTAAGACCCAGGCTTATCTTTTCAACAACCCTTTCATTTTCCCCAAGAGCCTCACTGTCACCCTCCCATGAAATAATTAGTAAAGTTTTAAGCATCAAAAAATTGTCACATTGCCTCTGCTTAAAATTGTTTTCTGCGTGGTAAAATCTTGACATAGTATGGCTCAATCTTGTCAGCTTAATACCAAGTCCAAGATGCCATTGGTTGTAAGATACACCACCATTGTTTTCTGTACCACCTAGAAGGAAAAAAATTTATGGTGATATGCTATAGACATATAGATATATGACATATATCAATTTTAGAGAGGTAAAAAATCACCTTAGAATCGATGGAACATGAAGTTTTTAAAACTTAAAATATTTATTTAAGAAATAAAATATCCTGAAAAGCAGGGTAAAGATTAAATTCAATTCAGTTTTTAATGCTTTGGCTTTTCCACTTACTTTCAGTGTTTTTCTTGATATTAGGAAAGTCCCTCCTTAATATATGATTCTGGTTTTATTGCTCAGATCCTGACTTATTTATCTATTAATTCTAATAAGATGATACACTGTAATTCAAACTATTCTGTTCTCCGTTTAGGATAGAACATGTCTGGTTGCAGTTTAGTGTCAAACACACCTTTAATGCTAAATTCTTTGAATAGCCTATTATTACTATATTAAGAGCTGAAGTATTTTAGCAAAATGCTTTGAGTAATGAATGTTGTAATCAGATTTTCCAAGCCATTTGTAAAAACCATAATTTGAGTTTATTTACAGTAGATTTAATTTTATGTCCTAGAAAAGCAGGAATAGGTCATGGGATGGGAAGTATTTTTCAGATAGGGTCTCACTATAGTACCCAGGCTGACCTCAGACTTGTAACCACCTGCCTCAGCCTCTCGAGTGCTGGGGTTACAGATGTATGTCACCATGCCCAGGTTTTAGTTTTTAAATCTAGACTAAATTTATAGAGATTACAGAGTTAAGTAAATTGATAGAAGACTGGAGTACCAGCCTATAGTATGAAATTATCCTTCAGTAGAATATCTTGAACAGTCTTTTTGGAATTTATACTAAGCCTATATTGGCTTAATTATGGCTGCATAATGTGGTCATGTTGACCACCCATCTTGCACCTCAGGCTATATTATTTGCCCTACGTAACTCACAGAAGCACTGAAGAATTGAGATAGTGCAGGTGAAATCACTACACAGTAAAACATTTCTCCCCTCTCCTGGCACTTTCCAAGAGATGTAAAGTTCATAAAATATTCATTGAATACCTTATTTGTGCCAGTTCTCACTCTTGACAGCGCTAGGTGTGCTGTGATGAGCAAAAGCAGACACATGAGGGACACCCCTAACGAGAAGAAGCGTCATTGCTATTTTATTCCCTCACACATCTCTGGTTCTGTCTCCTTCAAGCACCTTGCCTAGGGCTATATGTGTAGTTGAAAATACAGAGAATGCTTCTTAAATGAAAAGGTGAGAACTGAAGTAATAGTTGATTCAGGTAGGGTTTTTTTCCCCTTTAAGCATATCTCAGCAAAAAAGCAAACAAAAACAGATTTTGAGTTGTTTTGGTTTTGGTTTCTAGTAGTACTGGGATTTGTTGAGGGCTTTGCACTTGCTAGGCAGGTGCTGTATAACTTGAGCCAGGCCTCCAGCCCTTTTACTTTTGTTATTTTTCAGATAGGGTCTCGCACTTATTGCCCCAGACAATTTCAAACCATGACCCTACCTCCACCTCCTGTGCAGTTGGGATTACATATGTGTACTACCTTTTTATTTGTAATAGGGGCTTGCTAACTTTTCTGTCCAGACTGGCCTGAAACCATGATCCTCCTATCTCCCCCTGCCAAGTAGCTGGTTTTATATGAGTAATCCAGCCAAACTTTATTTTTAAAGGTACTTATATGTGAAATGCTAACAAATGAGGAGCTATTTTATAGAGTCTCAGAGCTGGAAGATTTAGGGGGAGTCATCAAAATGGTTTTTGCAGTTACAGTGCAGAGCCAAAGGATAATGCCTTTATGGAGATAAATGAAACAAAGCATAATATTATCCAAATTAGATATATTATTGGGTTTTAGAAAATGTACCTTTGTATATGGTTTTCCAGACTAAAACTAGAATGTTATTTAATAGAATTGTTTTTACTCACAGACTTATGCCCTTAACCCATAGACTATCGAAGTGCTCCACAGCTAACATTGAGACTTTGTTTAAAATTACCTGAACACACACAAGATTAAGTAGAGTATATTAACTCTAAAATTAAAATATGCCATAAACCAGGTGTCATGGTATACCTGTAATCCAAGCACTTGGCAGGCTAAGGTAGGAGAATTGCAAGGTTGAGGCCAGACTGAGTAACTTAATGAGACCCTGTCTCAAAATAAAATTTAAATAAAGGCTGGAGATGTGATTCAGTGGTAGAATGTTTGCCTAGCTTATGCAAGGTCCTAGGTTCAATTCCCAGTACCGGGGAGAAAAGAAAAAATCCATGATGACAGTAAGTAGTAAGTGACTCATAGAGTATGAGCTGGTCCTGCGGTCCAGAAATTGGTTCTTAACTGAATAACTTAGAAGAGCTTTATTTACTACTCCTTTCCTTTTGTACAATATGATCTTCTTTTCTAAGATCATAAGTTTTATGTGGCGGGAAATTTATCTCTAGTTAACTGTTGTCACTAGTTAACAAGGGATTGTCACTGAGAGAGAACTTGCCTTTAATTCTCTAGGATAATGAAAAGCTCCATAAACCTTTTTTGACTAAATAAAAGGATGATTGCATAATAAATCATGTTTTATTTCTCTTAAATGTTTTTCTGTACCAGTGGCAGGTGAAGATCCTGTGATTAGCCTATGTAGACCCCCTCTAAGAAGCCTAAGTTCTGGTAAGAGATTGTTTTGTCTGTTGGTACCTTTGTTTTTTTTAAATAATAGATAAGTTTTATTTTTAAATAGAGTAGTATATGTATTCATATGGTTCAGAATCTCAAATGTTACTATGGGGGTACAGTGAAAATTCTCCCTGCATCCATTAACCACCCCCTCTCCTCATCAGAGGCAACCAATGTCAGTTTCTTAAGTATTTTTCAAAGATAACTCCTCCCCCCTCCTTTTTTGCAGTAGTGGGGCTCAAACCCAAGGCCTTGCACATACTAGGAAAGCACTCTGCCCACGGACTGTATCTCCAGCCCTTCTCCCTTTCCAAACACAAATTCTGGCTGCATAAACTTTTTTCTGTACCTTTTAGTTTGTTTGGACTTGACTTCATGAATGTGCCTACCCTTTCTTTAAACAGGCTGTTTCTTGCATGTTGCTATGGTTCTTTTTTGCCAGTTTGATGCTTGCAAACTAAAGTCAGGGACTTTAGAGTAAAATATTCTTCCCAGTATACTGCTAATAAAAAAAATTTGAGATGGAAGCTTTGTGGCATGGGGGATACAAAATTTTCATTCTTTTTGACTAAAACCTTAAAAAGTACTGTCCTTAAGTTGATTTCATGACTATAGAAGAAAACGTAAGACCATTCCAATGCAGTCTATACTTGTACTTCATTTTCTGTGTTTGTTAGCTCATGAGGATGCTTTATCATTGAACTAAAAAGGAAATTTCTTTTTCTTTATATTAGTTTTCTCCTTCGCAGTCATTCCCTTCAAGAGAGAATCGTGTTTTTTGTGTTTTATAACAGTTGGTTTCCTGAAAGTATTTTAAAGATCTGTTAAGGTTTTGAAGCTGTGGTAAAGAACCATTTGATGCATTTCCTTTTCAGTTCTAACTGTTTTCTTGCTATCTCTCTTACAGATTCAACATACAAAACAAATGGAAATACTAAAATGAGTGAATTAGGTTCGTTTATCTCTAATTCTTACAGGTTCTTATCGAGGGTTTTGGTTATTAGTAGAATACATGAGTACATATATTCACAAACCCAGGTACTTTTTATTTAGCCCTTGTTAAATTCATACTGTGGAGAGAAAGATGTCAGCTTGCCAGTTGAATTTTTTCCCTTGATCTAGAAAATGAATTTGAGATGTTTTTCATAGAAAATTCAGTGTCCATTGCCATGTTTGTTGAACTAATTTAAATTCTTCTCACTGTTTGCCATGGTGTAGGACATGAGGTTCAAGAATCTGTGGCTTTAAGTAAACCTACACTGAATGTGGTAGGACTAAGTTTTAAGGCGAGAAGAGGGAACTTTTGTTTTCCTTTATAAAAGTGCATAGCTGCAACTTCCTCTATTAAATTCATTTTTTACTTAAGCTCAGGCTGATTTTTTTAGAGACTTCAGGATTTATAGTGTCTGGTTACTGAAAATGATCCTCAGGATGCCACTTATCACATGTACTTTTTCCCACCAGTTTCTCAAGTGTTCTATTTAGTCAGTCAAGGTGACACATGCCTGTAATACCAGCACGTGGGAGGCTGAAGCAGGAAGATTGAGTATTTGAGGCTAGCCTGAGTTCCATAGCGAGACTCCAGGGTCCTACATTCAATACTCAGCACCACAAAAAATAAAATAAATATATAAATATTTTGAAAAAAGACTTTTTAAGCCATAGACTCTTAATTAGAAAAATGGCCTAACACTCTTACTTTGTATGCTAGACTTAGAAATAATTTTATAATAAAAGCCTTTTTAAAAGGTGCTTTCCAGTTTAAAGTAATTTTCTATGGAATTCAGAGAATGGTACCCTCTGCTTCCTTTAATAGTAATGCTGGTACATCTTGAAGTACATGAAATGCCATTCTTGGAGCTTGAATACTTGTGACATCCCCAAGCTGTGCTTTACTCTCTCCTTCCTGCTGCCCCCACTCTGATTCTGTTCTCAAAAGCAAACTTGGTATAGAGCAGTGTTAACAGCATCTGTACTAGGATCAGCAAACTAAAGCCTCTAGGTAGAACCTGGCCCATTAGACTCAATTTTCCCATTTTTGAAAAAAAGTTACATGTGACAGAGACCTTACAGGACTCACAGAGCCTGGACTGTTTGCTCTATGGCCTTTGTGAAGGGAGTTTGCTGACTCCTGGTTTATACTGATGGCAGGGACAGATAGCAAGTCAGCCAGTTGTCATTTGTGTATTCCAGGAATAAACTCAGGAGTTCACACTGTCTGATATACATTCATACTGATATATCCGTGCATATAACTATTTAATACGTATTTTATAAAACACAGTAAATGAAGTTTATATTTTCTTGAGTACCCTACACTCCTTGCACTGCACACATCCCATAAATCTTTAGAAATACAAAGTCTATAGTAGATAGACTTGGCACCTGGGCTTTGAAAATATCTGGAGACTTTGATGAGTCTTATGGGCTGAGATATACCTGGAACTTCTTATTTCCTTAACCACCTGTGGCTAAGCAAAAGAAAGTGGTACAATTGGTTAGTGGTCTCCACCAGAGGAGATGATTATAAGTTACCTATTCTTAGCCAGTTACGGTGCTGCACTCCTGTGATCCTGGCACTCAGGAGGTTAAAGCATGAGGAGTGTGAGTTCTAGACCAGTGGGCTACATAGTAAGACCCTGTGTCAAGTTGTTGGAAAAGTAAGGCCTCTCACAGCATGGTTTAATTATTATCATTTCTCTACCGGTTGAAGCCACAGCCCTAATAACTTTGTTTCAAATAGGACTTTAGTTTCTCAGAGCTTCAGCAAGAACATAGGAAAAAATAATATCCTTTTTAAAAAATATGTCTTTTTTGTGTGTTTATCTTCTATGTGGAGCAGTAGTGTTTAAAATAAAGGAAGCTTCTAGGTACTAGTGGCTCATACTGATAAGGCTTACATGAAAGGGTAAAATCATGAGGATCACAGTTCCAGGCAACCCAAGCAAATAGTTCATGAGACTCCATCTCCAAAATAACCAGAGGAAAATGGATTCGAGGTGTAGTTCAAGTGATAGTATACCTGCTTTGCAAGTACAAAGCCCTGAGTTCAAACCCCAGTCCCACAAAAAATAATAATAGTAATAAAATAAAGCTGAATAACAAAAGAGGGAAATGAAATTAAAGCAGGAAGTCCTGTGTTCTACTGATTCATCATCAAATTATATTTAAATATCTATCTGTACATTCTTTGCAGCTTAGGTTAAAATGATGAAAACAGGTTGAATGTTTAAGCCATTGCATGGAATCTAATTATTGAGAACTAATTTCAATTATTTTTCTCAGGTTACTAAGTAATGTTATTTATCATGTAAGAAATTGTAGCAAAAATCTTAAACATTTTCTTCTATGATCATAAAATCTATTCATTAAATAAACTTTCTTTTTAGCTATTTTCTGTGTGTCAGCGACTGACCTAAATGCTAGGACCATTAAGAGCCATGAAAATTTTTTTCTGTCTCTTAGGAGTACATTATCCAACAAAAAAAGAAAAACAGATTTAAATATTACTGTAGTCTCAGCTCTATAGGAGCTGATTGTGTGTTCCAGGCCTGTCTAAGCTACATAGCAAGACACTGTCCAAAAAAAAGGAAGAAAATAGTTGTAATTTTTTTCATTTCTATAATTTTATTTATTTTTTGGTGGTGCTGGAATTTGAACTTGGGGCCTTGTGCTTGCTAGGTAGTTGCTGTACCACTTGAGCCACATACTCAGCCCCTTGTAATTTTATTGGTGCTAAAATAGTGGTGTGTTTCTAGAGAGCCTAGAAAAGTTGGAAAAGACATTTGAACTGAATTTTGAAGTACAAATAACAGGCAGTGAGGAGACTGGAAAGTATTATAGTTTATCTTGTAAAAGACTTTACTATTTTACCTGTAGATATAATGCAATATGAGAAATTAAACATCTTTACATTAGCAATAATACATTAACTGTGATTCTTTATTGGAGATATGTTATTTTTAGAATGACATTCTAAACTTGGGTTTCTTAAGCTTCATTTAATAGATTGAAAGTCATGTTTTAAAATGTATATATAGAAGTCAGGTGGTGGTAGCACATGCCTCTGATCCCATTTGCTCAGGAGTCAGAGATAGGGAAGATCATAGTTTCAGGCCAGCCTAGGCAAAAAGATAACAAGACCCCATCTCAACAAACATGCCAGGCTGATGACATAATCCCATCTACATGGGAGGCATAGGTAGGAGGATTTGATGTCCAAGGCTAGCCCCGGGCAAAAACCTAAGACCCTATTGAAAAGATAACTAAGCAAAAAAGGGGTGGGGGTCTGGCTCAACTGGTAGAGTACCTACCTGCCTAGCAAACATTAGACCCCAAATTCAAACCCTAAATTAAAATGAAATGTATATGAAGGTATGGGGGTGTAGCTCAGTAGTAGAATGCTTACCTAGTATGTTCAAGATCCTGTGTTCAACTACAGCACAGCACATCAAAAATTTAAAACAAAAATAATATATATGACCACAAGTCTGATTCTGTAACTTTTTTTCTTTGACAGTATTGGGGTTTGAACTCACTTGTGCCATACTCAGCCTTTTTTTTTTTCTTTTTAGTTATTTTGTGGATAGGATTTTTGCCCAGGGACTGCCTCAGACCATGATTCTAATCCTACAGCTTCCATGTAACTGGAAACACAGATGTGTGCCATCACAGTCAACTTACTGATTGAAATGTTCACACTAGTTTTGCCCAAGCTGGCCCCAAACCA